TCCTCCCATGAAGAACCAAATCTAATTGTCCAGGATGAGCTTTCTGGTTTTCCTTTTGTCATGTTCTAAAGGCTTCTCTGCCTCCAGAAAATGCAAATGGAAATAACAGGTGTCGGGTGTCGAGTAGAAGCTAAAAATGTTACAGACTGGTCCAGACTTGAAGCTGAATTCCCAGGATGGTCTGGGAGGGAGGAGGAAGGTGAGATGGAAGAGGAAGAAATGAGAAGCCAGTGAGACCAAGACAGACCATGCCTGTGACAAGGGATCCTCACCAGTGCCTGAAGGAGACAGCTGATAGAGACTAAGGATGAGGAATTAGCCAACACGGTTGAATTTGGGGAAATCAGGGATAATGTGCAAATATACGAACTAGAGCAGCCAAGCTTGGACTCCGGAATTTGGGTTCGAAGGGAAATTTAATCCAATCCCTGAGGAATAAAGATCTATAGGTGACATCTATGGTCCAACAACGAGCAATGATAGTAATACTAAATCTTAAAAGGAACGAGGGAGCATTGATTCCAGCCCCACACTTTATAGAAAACATGCTAAGCCCTGTAGAAGTCCAAGAGATCTGCCCTGTGTCTTAGACCTTAAGTAGAAATATTTGGAGCCAACTGGACACTTTCCTAACGCTAATCCAATGTTTAATGCTAAAAATGAAACATGGTAAATAAAATGAGTTTTTGGATACAAGCTGCTCAATTACAAGAAAAGCAAGATTGGGAATGGGTGACTTGGATTCTACCTTACAGCTGACTCTTTGCTGTTCTTTGCCTCTCAGACACTTACTTGCCCACTCTGAGAATGTTTAGCTTTAACCTTACACACACACACACACCCCTCTACCATTTGCAGTTCTAGAGGCCAAGGCTATGTTGGACCCACCACCTTTCCATCTAATACCTGATCCTTGTTCCTTAAAGTATTCTTCTTCTCCCAGTTGGATGAAAATAGTAGTCTTTTTTAAATGTTTTTTTAAATATTTATTTATTTATTTATTTTATGTATGAGTGCTCTATCTGCATATACACCTTTATGTCAGAAGAGGCCATCAGATCCCATGATAGATGGTTGTGAGCCACCACGTGGTTGCTGGGAATTGAACTCATGTCCTCTGGAAGAGCAGCCAGTGCTCTTAACTGCTGAGCCTTTTCTCCAGCCCCCAAATAGTACAGCCTTGAAAGGAAACAACGGTTATAACACGATGAATGTGAAATTATGTCATACTAAAAACATAAAGCTATGACTCATTTTCAGTTCCCACTGATAGACAGGAAAACCACTGTGACTGAGGTAGTGGTGAGCACTATTTCAGCTAAATGACCTCCTGGCCATCAGCACTCACCTCTGTAAGAAAACTGTATCCCTTTCTATCCCTCAAGATTCAACTTTACAGTTGAGTAGCAGTAGCTGATGTGATTGTGAGAGCCTTGAGTGATCTTTTATGTTAGCATTCTCAAGAGAATTTGGTTTCAAACAAAATGAAAGTGACCAGCCATCCTGAAAAGTCAGTTCAGCTTACTTGCAGTTTAAATATGGAAGTGAGTGATGTTCCAAGGATCACCTTAAAAATTTCCATTAGCGTAGAGAAAACCCTTGGGTTAGATGTCCCCTGATGTTTTACTTTATTACTGTCCATAGAATGTCCATGGTGTTGAGAAATAGGAAAGAGATGGGTAAGCTGCCCAACAACCTTGAGACTAGTTCACACACACACCAAAAATAAATAGGAAAAAAGCCACAAAAATAATGAAAGTTGTAATGTCTAATACTGACAAAGCGGTGGATAATTTTTTTAAAAAAATGAACAAAAGGGGGCGCTGGATAGATGACTCAGCAGTTAAGAGCACTTGATGCTTTTGAAGCTTGCTTCCCAGCACCCATATGGCTGGGGGGGAGGGGAATGGGTGGACAGAGGTAGTGTTTCACATCCATCTGTAGCTCAGATCGGGGGATCTAGCACCCTCTTCTGGTATCTGTGGGTATAGGCACTCACATGGTGCACACAGATACATGCACACAAACACTCAGACACATAAAGTAAAAATTTTAAAATACAAAGAAAACTCAACCCCTTTAGAAAGCCATTTAGAAGCATGCAGTTGGTGCCTTAAAATTTTCCCAGTGTGGCTACAAAATAAATACAGGGAATTTTTCATAATTAAAAAACTTGTTAGAGCCGGGCAGTGGTGGTGCATGCCTTTAATCCCAACACTCGGGAGGCAGAGGCAGGTGGATCTCTGTGAGTTCGAGGCCAGCCTGGTCTCCAAAGTGAGTTCCAGGAAAGGTGCAAAACTACACAGAGAAACCCTATCTCGAGAAACCAAAAAAAAAAAAACTTGTTAGAAAAATATGACTGTATTTTATAGATACTTATTTTAAACAACCTGAGTATTCAGCAATGCAGAATTGAGTGAAAGATTGTCACATCTGACTTTGATAAGGCTAAACAAACTACTCATAAGACAATCATAAGTGCCCTGTAGAAACAAATCCAGTGGCATGGTGATAAAAACTCATAACATTACACTATGGGACATGCTGATAGCTGCTTAGAAATATATAACTGTGAGTTAAAAAAGACTATGGAAACAGGACAGCGTTAAAGTCATTCCCACAGAGAGAGATTATGAGTCTGGTTTCTTAGTTTCATCTTCTGTTGAAGGTTCTTTTTAGTAATAGGAACAAGAGAGAGAAAGAGTCCAGCTTTTAGTCCCTTGGGGTTCATATATTGAGGAAAACATTACACAGCCACCTAAGCGATATTTTTCTTCCCCACTTCAAATCTCAGCATGAGTTTTTCCCGGATCCAGGGCTTTAACCATGTTTTGTTGAAATGACTCTGGCTACCATGGTTATTCTTTGAAAGTCAAGCAGAGTTTACATTGTTCCCTGCAGCATCCTCTCTGTGCACTACACCATGAGTTACGATATTAGAGCATGCTGTCGCCAGGTCTTTGGAGGCAGCCTCGGTAGCCCTTTTCTGTTTGTGTAGTAAATGATGGTCCTCATTCAGGCAGATTCTGTTTCTGAGTTGTTGCCCTTTGTTGTGTCCAAACGGCATATCAAAACTTCCCCATAATGTCCTTCATTATTGAAAGTCAACTATTTTGTCATCTTATCAAAGAAACTGCAAGAGTTACAGTTACAATGTGACTTTATGCAGGATGCAGAATTTCTCCCAGCAGGTCAAGACTTCAGCAGTTACACTCCAGAACAAGAATGAAATAGTTTGTGCTAGGAGAAAGACACCACAAGCTACACAGGCCTGGGTTATCTGGTAGCTGCACATACATATCTTTTGGTAGGTTATATTTACCTCAGGTTTCTATGCCTTCTGGAAAGCCACTTGTAGATGGGATATATGAATCAAATGATGAAGAAAATATAAATCAATCTCTTCCCTCTCTCTTTCTCCCTCTCCCTCCCCCTCCCTCCTCCCCCTCCCTCCTCCCCCTCCCCCTCCCTCTCCCTCTCCCTCTCCCTCCCTCTCTCTCTCTCTCTCTCCTCTCTCTCTTTTCTTTCTCTCTTTCTCTCTCTTTCTCTTTGTCTGTCTGTCTGTCTCCACTCAGCCTCTTAGGTCAGAGTAGTGCAAATCTTGACTATTCTCCATAAATCTAGACAGAGTGCTAATTTCCTTGTCCCCTAATTTATACACCTATAAAAGAGATAAAGATAAAACTTGCCTCACAGAACTTTGTAGTAATTGAGTTAATTAATATAAGATTATAGCAATTAATAAATACTACTTTATGGCCAGTCAGAAGGTTCAACAGGTGAGGGTGATTGCCACCAAGCCTGACGACATGAGTTTGGTACCGGGAACTCATATAATAGGAGAGATCCAGTTCCCTCAAGTTGTCCTCTGACTTCTACATATATGCTGTGGTTTGCTCATGCATGCACACATACACATAGTGACATAAATAGATAAAACGTGAAAAAGAAATATTTCTTATTAATGTACATGATTTTGAATCTGAAAAAATAAAAAATGGCCCCAGGTTACTTGGGAAACAGTTTCCAAAATGAATTAAATTTGTAGTGAACCCCAAACTGCTCTTAAAATAAACATCATCTTTAAGAAATCAACAAAGAAGCAGCCTTACTTTTCTCTGTGGAAAGAAGAAAGCTGTCTAGAGGTCAATCACATGGTGAAGGACACTGGGAATGTTTCATAGATGGAAATTAAATTATGATGGACAGAAGTATGAGCCACATGGGAAAATCATAAGGGGACATGGTGTCTTTTGTTTCTGGGCACTTTGCAGGGCTTGGACTTTTTTGTTATTATTTCTGTTTCATTATCGTTTCCCATTTTGGAAAATACTCACTGGTCAGAAAGGATGGTATGTACCACCATCCTCCTGAAATGGAAGTGTTCTCTAACCCAGCAGCCATTACCTTTCTCATTAAAGCTGATCATTCAGTATGACCACGAGGACTAAGACTGGTTGTTTTAAATATTTCACAACACCACTGTAAAGCATTTTTACAAAGCCTTTTTTAACTTTTGGTCTTTTATCAAATGTGTTTTAGCAGATTAGGTGTTCAAGGATATGTATTTTCAAAATAGACGTCTGTAAATGTTACTTTAAGTTTAATAAGAAAAAATCTAAATGATTTAGTCTTTATTTAACTGAGCTGATAGATCACTTTAAAGTTCTCCACCAAGAGAGTTTATCATTGCCAAGTGACCTTTATCCTTTCAACAGATACTAATTGGATGGTACCCAGAACCATATTAGCTATTAGCCCTACTGATAACTCACTTCAGCTTTCTTAGTGGTGAAAAGACTACACAAAGAAAATCAATCCAGTTGAGTACTTTGTTCTCAAGCATGTAAAACTTTGAACCGCACTGGAGCTAATTATTCTAGTAATTACTTACTCTGTTTTTCTAGCACATTCTAGGATGGGCAGCAACACCTCTCATTATCTCCACAGTGTTCTAGGTTGGTTGGTTTTGCTTAATAATGTATACTTTCTATTTTGAGGGTGAGCCTGGATCACCTGGAGCAGCAGGGCAAAGTGGACTCCCGGGACCAAAGGTTGGTACAGATAAAGCCAAGCACAGTCGTCCACTGCATGGTTTCCACACAGTTTTAAGCTGTCACAGTTTGTTAAGCTATTCTCTGGTTGTAGCTGGGTAGACGTTTTTGTCAGTGGTATAATGCTCAGTCATAGAACTTTGTAACTAATGACTACATTATGCTTACAATTGTCGTTAACATTAGACATGCAGAAAAGAAATAGGATATGACTGTCTAAAATATTTCTTGTGGGGCTGGGGAGATGGCTAAGTAGTTAAGAGCACCTGGTGCGAGGGTTCAAATCTTGGTACCCACAGCTCATGACCCTCTGTAAGTAACTCCAGTCCCAGAGGATCCGATGCCCTCTTCTGGCCTCCAAGGATACTAGGTTCACACAGTACACAGACATACATGCAAGGAAAACACCTATAATATAATTTAAAAAAAAAATATTTCTTGTGGGATAATCAAATAGCATAAGAAAGCTCTCAAAATGACCACTGTCATTTTACCCCTTAATAAGTTGTGAAAACATAGGTCATGTTCATACTACCTCAACTGTACATATTAGCAAGCCCCACTACAGATGATGTCCCCAGAGCCATGACGGCTTTTTCTCAAGATTTGGCCACTTCAGCTTCTATACAACATGGCCAGTTAGTCAGACAAAGAACAGAATAAAGATGTGGTGTGTTTAGAATTTAAAAATGGATATAGTTTGAATTACTAAATAGGGAAAAAATGTAATGAGGATTTTTTTTGGATTGCCTGTTTTCTTGGTTTCTTGAAGAACAAATGAATCCGTTAAATCAAAAAAGATTGGTGACAGTTCAGTTTAAACCAAGCAGGCAGACAAATCCCAAACCCTTTGATGAGTGAACACCCCTTGAAGTACAAAACTCATGTCTAATCCCATCAGCTGTGCTGGTGTGAGTCTGAACCCACAGATGTCTGTCAACTGATTTTACATGTCACGCTGCTATTTAGGTACTGGGGACAGACCTAAAATGCATGGACCTGCCCCTTTTTTGTCCTGAAGAAGAAAGAAAATACTCCTTCTGGGAATCTAGCCCTCTCCTGTCTTCTCCCCTTCCTTGCACTTTACTAAGAAGCCCAATGGTGGGAGTTGATTCTTGATGAGCGCTCACAGTACTGTTCCTGTGTCGGGTGGCAATGCAGCCGTCAGGACACATGTTGAGTGGTGAAGGTCACCAGAAAAGCAGAAAGCCAGGGGGTCAGGTTGATTTCCAGAGAATGAGAAGAACTTTGTCTCCAAACTGACTTCTAGCTTGGGTTCTTTTACTTTGGTTTTCTTTTTCTCCACAATAATCTCCTTAAAACATTTTAAGCAGTCTGGTCTCATGGCAACTCTTTTTTTTTTTTTTTTTTTTTTGGTTTTTCGAGACAGGGTTTCTCTGTGTAGCTTTGCGCCTTTCCTGGAACTCACTTGGTAGTCCAGGCTGGCCTCGAACTCACAGAGATCCGCCTGGCTCTGCCTCCCGAGTGCTGGGATTAAAGGCGTGCGCCACCACCGCCCGGCTCATGGCAACTCTTACTCAAACTCCCCATCAGGAAATTTCATCGTAAGATGTATGTACTTTAAAACATCTATCCGTCCCCTGCCCTTTCCTAGAGAAAGGGGAAAATGCAATTCTCTTCAGAGAGCAGTTTCCTATTTTAATCCCTGTGTTTTCTTGGTCATCATGTCTAGTAGGAACCTCCATCACTAAGGCTGCTCCATTCTGGTATCTTGGTTACAGAACTGATGATCTTGTTGAGGAGTCAGAGTGCTGCATTGAGGGTTTATGATCATGTCCAGGATTGCAGAGCTGTACCAGGGTCAGCCCTGAAATAACTCATGCATCAGGACATGCTTTAAGACAGCTTTATGGAAGGACATGCTAACCTACCTTATTGATTTTGCATTTGCCACACTGTGTTCCCCCTTAATGTCCCAGTCCACTCCTGGGTGACCTTATCTACTGCACATGTCATTATCCTTATAGAAATAAGGACTTAAGATTAAAGTTGGTATTGGTATCTATACCCAATTCCTCTGGATATTTTTGCAACTTGTTTTCATGTAGAAACTAAGGCCAAAATAGACAATGTGCTTTATAATTCACCTAGTGCATTCAGTATGTCTTCAGTACCCTCTTTGTTTGCTACTGCTCTATTAGCTCTTCACTAATATCTCTCCATCTCTGTTTCGGTGCTCAGGGGGAGCCTGGAAAAGAAGGAGAAAAGGTAAGAATAGTTCTGCATTGTTTGTCACCTCCCTTCTCCAGAGCTACACTCCAACTGAACTAGATGCGTGAGAGGATGGATGGTGGATAGACGTACAGATGGATGGACAGGTAGTTAGAAGTGGAGATTGGGGAAGATTAATTGGCCCATCTTTCAGACTGTCAAATAGGGAAAGAGAAAATATGGTTTTATCTTCCATCTAGTTTTTGAATGGGGGCTTGGGAGGAAGGACAGGCGAGCAAACGCTGCCTGCCAGGCTCACAGTGGCTTTCGGGGACCCCTAGCCCTGTAAAAACCCATTCTGCACACTTGCCAATGCCATGCCGGTGCCTTCCTAAGCATCCACAGCTGTCTCTGCTGCTGCTGGGGACTCTGGGTCAAGGGTCAAAGGCATCCAGATGTTTACCTGCAGTGACTGGCTAAAAGTGACCCCACAAAGAATCCCCATCAAAACCAGAAAAGGCAACAGACAGAGTCGGGGTTGCGTGTTAATCCCTGTTAGATGCCTGTGGTATTCCTTGCAGGCCTGTCTTACTGGTTTTCAAACTCCTACTGTGAATGGCTCTGTTTGTACCCCAGGTTCCCTCTGCTAACTGCAGTGGTGTTTGGGTGTGTCTCTGAGTGGAGTGCTAGATACTATGATACGTTGTGATAGTCTTTCTGACAAATATCATAACCCTACTTGCAAAAGAAGTTCATCAAAAGATCAGGAAAATAGTCCTCAAATTAACTGTATTTTCCCACCTTGTAAAGCAGAAAGAAGGCAACGTTAAATTGGAAGAAGAGCAAAATAGGGGTTAAAAGGCCATTCATGAAGGGACAGTCAATCTCTTTACTTCACAACTACTCTGAGCCCCATTTCCCAATGAGGAGATTGGTGTTCTAAGGGGGTTTTCAAGCAGATTTCTAAAAAGCACATGAGTAAGCCATCTCTCAACACTGCCTTAGAGTGTGTACTCTAAAGCAGTCAGTTTAGGGTAATTAACTTGAAATTAATTAGTCATCAAATAACTGGTTCATGTAGAAATTGGGGAGAGAGGGGTAGCGATGCCAGTGCCCATCTCCAGTTCATCAGATGGGGTGCTGCCCTCGTGGCCCACTGTACACAGCCCGGGCAGGTTCAGTTCATGCTTATTTGAAATGGTAAAAGGAACTTTGGAAGGGAAAGTGAGTCTCTCTCTTCTGTCTTCTCGTTCTTGAGAAACTGCAACTGATGGTCTCTCTCTTAAATTCTGTGGAAGTGTTGAAATGATAGAAAAGTGACCTCCTCTGAAGCTAGAGAGAAGGGCAGCCCAGCACAGGAATGCCACAAACACCCAGGCACTGGGATCTCCGACAGCAAAGACTATTTTTCAGAGTGTGCTGGCATGGTTTGAAATGCTGTGTACGGTGCAGAACTTAGTTCTTACAGCTGCATAGGGTATCCTTATCCTCACGTGACCCAGGAAAAACTCAGTGCAAAGAGCATTGCTTTGCCTGCTAAGTGCCAGTGCTGGACTCCATTCTACTGAATCTGAAATCCATGACATTTCCTCTCTAGCATGCTCTAAGGCTTAAATGAAAGCATTCAGAGTTTAGCGGAGCAAAGCGCAGAGATAAAACGAAACCTTTCCCCTTTCCTCTGGCTTGTGGGTAGGAAGGAGATGTCACTGGACGAGTAGGGAAGTAACCAAAAAAGCACACATTCCCCTGACTCAGTTTACTGTGATTTGGGAGAGACAATATCTAATAAAAATATAAAAATTCCTTTTTTTTGAATGCTGCCTATGCAGCCTCAAGTAGATAAATACTCAGTCCATAGGCCTTGGAGGCCACGGCATTCACTTGGAAGCCCTGGAGCCTTTGATTGGTTTGAAGACAGGTAGAATTTATACAGCTTGTAGGGGGAAAAGAGCAGTCTTGCACAGCATGAGGAGGGCCCAGAAGTAGCAAACAGAAGTGCCATGGCATGCTGTGGGAAGTGACAGGAGAGCCCTGCTGTGGGGAACTTTAGCCAGAGGAAACGAGAGTGCAGGAGGGAAGCTGGTGTCCACATCAGCCATGAGAAGTCTAGCAGAGACGTCACCGCTTTGTGTTAACCCTGCGCTGTTTGAAGGTGCTCAGCCGTGTTCATGTAATAAAAGTAATCGTATTGGCGACAGTCGGCTGGTCAAGCTCGTGGGCTCTGTGAACATTTACAGTGGGTTGTAACAAGAGTGTGTCCAAAGGAGAATGCAAGAGAGGATGCTCTTTGCTTCAAGTCACCAGTTGATATAAGTGTATCACTTTGTCCTCTTCTCAGGGAGATGCTGGAGAAAATGGTCCCAAAGGTGACTCAGGTGAAAAGGTACGGTCTTGTGAAATACGGAAGGCGGTGTGCATGAGCACGAATATCATTGAATGGGTCTGAAGCTGGGGGATTTGGGAGACAGCCCAGAGAAACCTCTCAAGTTAGACAAACAGTTCGGTATCCGACTTCTAAAAAGTGATTCTTCCACATCCTAGCCACAGATTTAAATATTCTGAAAGCAAAATGGCCTGCCAAAAATTAGAAAATAAGTAAATTTCCAACAATAGGTCTCTCAGGCAATAACCACACTTACTCATGTGGCAGTGTGTCTTCACAGAGGCCTGAAAGGGGCGTTCCTGAGTGATTTGGCCTGCCCTAGATTTAGAAGGAAGTATGTTGGTGAGTGAGGACGAAATTGAAAAGTTTAGTCTTAAGTTACTAGCACTCGATTGCAGTGTTCACGTCAGGATCACTGGGTACCGTGGCCCTTGCATTCTGCCTTCCCCCTCCGTGGTCTTTGGAACGCTGATGAGCATTTACAGCACAGGCCTCCCTGCTCTGTCTCCGTTCCTCTCTCTCGTCCCACCAGTCCGTCATTACGGCGTTTGCTTGGGTTTGTATTTTACATCCCTGACACCATGGCACTGGAACATCAAAAGGATGTTTTCCTTCATCCATGTGATGTGCTCAGATTTGGAAAGAAAACTCTTTGAGAGGCTGAATAGAGAATCAGAGCGGATGGATTTCAGTGCAAACCAAGTACAGGAACTGATGAATGGGAGGATTATCCACTTAGGCTCACAGTTGAGAGAGAGACTGTTCCATTTTGAAAATTATGACTCTACAGATGGATAATGGTTAGTCATAAAAACATACTCATAAAATAAATAGAAGCTTATCTTTCTCCATCTCATAAATATTAATACAAATATGGCATGGAGGTAGGAACAAATTAATGTCACTAAGTAGCAACTGTTTGTATTTGAGAAACAGTTTGAATTTAGGGTAGATTCTCGGTGTCTTGAGGACCAGGGTGTCTGGGCCTCAGCACCGTTGACAGTGTGAACTGAATAATTCTTCGCTGTGGAGCTGGCAGGCAAATCCATGTGCTGTGACCTACCCTTCCATCCCTATTTCAGAACCCCTGCAGTAGCTGCATCTCTTTATCTTCCAAATGTAAATACCGAGCTGCCCTCAAGTACGACATGCAAGTATTTAATGCATGCTCCTGCCTGCTCTCAGATCAGGATTTGAACCCCTGGCTATGTGAACCCAGAGGATGATGGTCTATTTAGCTTTCATCTTTTTGTCTAAAAGCAGAGATAAGCCAGCTTGTTCTATAGATTAGTATTTTAGGCTTTGTGGGCCACATCGTGTCCAGCACAACTCCGTGGCTCTGGGATTGTAGCAGCCACAGACAGCATGCAAAAGAAACGAGTGGGGCCGTGTTCAAAAGGGATTTTGTTTCTGGTCCTGGTGACTTGGAGATTATGTAATTTGTGTGTATTTTGTAATATTATTGTTGTTTTGATTATTTTTTAACCATTTAAAAGTATAAAAGTAGGCTGGGAGGTGGTAGCGCACATCTTTAATCCCAGCACTCAGAAGGGCCAGGCGGATCTCTGTGAGTTTGAACTCAGCCTGATCTACAGAATGAGATCCAGGACAGACAGGCTCCAAAGCTATACAGAGAAACCCTGTCTCAATAAATAAATAAATAAATAAATAAATAAATAAATAAGGCCATGCTTGGCCCAGTCTTGGAAGTATCCAGCAAGACTTAACTACAGTAGCCAACCTTTGCTTAAAACAAAGGAAATACTGTACACAGAAGGCAGCTTCTTCAAACAACACAATATATCAAATTTAAACTGCACCTATGTGAATTTTAATAGAGCGTTTTATGTCTTAGAGAGTGAATATTTTTTTTAACTCCGTTTTTTGGAACATAGGCCAGTAATGGTTTCTTTACTCACACAGGTTTTGAAATTTAATTTTGTAACAGTAAAACAATGTTTTTCCTTGAAAGGACCCAAGTGTCTCAAAGGAATGTCGTTTTTGCTTTATACATAATGCAAATCAGTTACCATACGGACTCACACATCATAAACTCTCAATAAATACTAACTTTTCCTACCATGTGGAAATTGAAATCAACGACATGGTTGTTTCTCTTTTCTTTTCTTTTTTTTATCAAAAAGTTTTATTGCTCAGCTGAAATTAAGTACAAGAAATGCCTCAGTTAAAGCGGAAATCGTTTCTATAAACTTTCAATGGGTCTAAGCAGGGGATTGTAAATAGCGATCTGTAACGTGTATAATATGTAATCTGACCCACAGCATTCATCCCAAGAATGTAGTGATTGGAATATCATTTTTGATGTGTTTTTTAAACATTTCCTGCTCCTGTCTTATAATTTGTTTCCAGCATGTCGGAAACACTCTTCTTGTGGCCTTTGTCTTCAGTATGCGAAACCCATTCATCATTTTCCAACTTCGAGGGGTAAAATAAAAAAAAAAAATTTAAGCCTTTTTTCTGCTATTGATGTAGTAAATTACGTCATTGACTGATTCACTTTAATGGATTTTTTTTTTTCCTTTTGATCCAACTCAGTGCATTCGGATGGTAAAGCAATCTGAGGCTTTCCAGGCTGGTCATCTGGAAATGCTGGAAGCTATAAAACCACTGACTGGGCCAGGGCTTCTCTGTGGCCAGCAAAACAGTACACTCAGCTTAAGACTAACCTGCCAAAGACTGATTTCAATCACGTGTGAAGTTACTGTGGAAGCTTTGTATTCTAGTCTTTGGAGTGTTAATTCCACCAAACAGTGTTGGAATCGATTTCTTATCCACTGCAAGTGGATGCCTGTACAGCTCACTGAATGGTCGGACCACACTGCCGTAGCCTGTGTGGTGTTCTCTGCCGAGTCAAGAGCTCCAGCTCCACTTATTGGCACGAGTTGCCTGTCCCTTACCTTCCTTTGCTCCCATGGCCTCTGTCCCTATCCATGCATTGCCTTCTGATTTAACATCTGGAGCTCAAGTATCTTGTCTTTCACAGATATGGGACCTATTTGCCCTTACCAACCAATCTGTCTTAAACCACACCTGGAGGGCTGTGTCCAAGGACACTCTAGGGCAGTCAGCACCTGGTCCTCTCTAATCCTGCCCATGGTATTCTTTGTTTAGATGCCTGCTCTCTCTTCCCCCTCCCAGTTCCTCATCTCCATTTTCTAGCTTTGTTCAATCTTCAATCCTTTGAACCTTGGATTCACAAGTCATTTCCTAGGGAAGCTCTTTAGTCTCTTAAACTTCTCAGGTCATCCCTGTATACTTGAACAACACCCTATAATTCTGTTCCTAATACATACTGTTCTTCACTGTCATTTCTTAATTAACGGGACACTGAGCTCACTAGAAAAGGAACAAACAAACCCAAACCCATAGGATACTGTCTAGTTTCATTTCTAGATCATGCAATAAAATCCTCTTACAAAAGTAAGAAAGACGGGGTTTCTTTTTTTCAAAATTTGAAGTTAGTAGTCCATCATTGTAGGGAGGTCAAGGCGTGAAGCAGCTGGTCACATTCCCTGTGTGGTCAAGAGCAGAGAGCAATGAATTAGTGTGGGCATGCTTGCACTAGTCCAAGGCCTAGCCCATGAACTAGCCTACCTAATCTAAACAATCTTCATTGAAACTCCTTTCCCAGGTCGTTCTAACCAGCCACCACAGCTCCACCCTTGTCCATTTGACACCAAGCGCATCACTTTTAAGCTATAATCTTCCATCCTTTGTCCCCAAAGTCAAACCAAAAACTGCATAGTGCCAATCTCTTCTAGTCCTGGTGCTAATCCAGGTTCCAGGACATTGTTATAAGATAGTAAATACTGTTTGGAAAACCTTTTTTTCTTTAATCTTAAACAACTTCATATTTTCATTGAATGGCACGAAGTTTCTATAGCCTGCATTTGCTTATTCTGTCTTTATTAACATATTTTATTACTTGCTGAGTACTGTGTTTGCAAACAACCACATATAAAACCAGTTCTTAACTGAAAGTGAAAAACAGTCAAGTTGCCAGATGTGGTGACGCGCGCCTTTAATCCCAGCACTTGGGAGGCAGAGGCAAATGGATCTCTGTGAGTTCAAGGCCAGCCTGGTCTACACTGTCTTAAAAACAAAACAAAACAGCAAAGTCAAGTTTATTTACCTCACAGAACTTCTCCATCTGTGGCTTAGCCCACTGACTATTGAAGCTAGGCATGTACACCAGCCCCAGCTGGGAGGCTGTTTCCTGCTTTAATCCTGTGTTCACTTGTACTTTGGGGACAGGGTTATAAACATCCCCTGCTCCATTTCAGCTACTTGGAACATTGTCCTATCCAGCAGTGGCCTTGCTCTTAAAAGTTATAGAAATTCCTGGAGATTTCACAGTTCTGCATCTTTTAAAAAGAGAATACAGATATGACTATGAGTTGTCCATCAAATGAAGCCTCCCTGATTTCCACAAGTAAAGCATCCTTTCACTGTTGGGCTTTCCTTCCCATCTACTTTCTCTGAGGACAAAATCCAGTCTGTCTTCTCATGTAGGAGGTTAGCCAAACACTCTTGTATTCACTACAAGTGGTTAGTACAAGAACCACCTTTAATGTACACGTTTTCTCTAGCCTTTAGGACCCATTGTCAAAACGATACAGTCCAGCAGTCCTTTTCTCAGTCGGATAAGAAGAGCAAACGTGGAGGTACAGTTGGGGAAGCTCGAAGTTCACTTCACTGGAGCTCCTTCAGCTTCCTCATCACTGTGTGGAAGTGGCAATGCCTTCCCTGCATGGGAAACAAGGCAGAAGGAGCGTCGTCACAAAGTCAAGTTGTCTTTAGTACTACAAAGGTCGTGTTATCCAAAACATTGCAAACTGGTTCATTAATGTTGAGGGCTCCCAGACTTAGTTTAGTAGAAACAGAAACAAATATTATTTTCTTCACCGCATTTATTTCACCCCTCATTTGGAACTCATTTGAATGGGAATGGTTGGGAAGGGAAGGATCATTCATCCAAGAGTTCGCTGCTTTGTTTAGCCACACTTTAATTTTTCCTTGGGTAATGGCAATTACAGATGTCAAAGTCACGTGTGCACTTCTTTCCCCAACAAACTAAATTGACTATTTCCTTCTCTTTCCTAAGCTCGGGTGTCCCCCTTCCTAAAGGTCTCTCTTCATTTTGATCCTTGACTGCTGACCTGACTAAAACATGGTCTTATAGACAGTCAGTCACTCATTCACCACGTGTGTGTTAAGCATATCCTGTGATCGGGATGCAGGCAGAGTCAGTTCTCCTGCAGCTGGCTGTCTGCCGACAGGACAGGTGAATGTGCAGGCCATGCCCACAGCAATCACAACACAAGCAGTGCCCGACACAAGCAAAGCATGAAGCTACAGTAGGTGTGCTCCTGGGGGGGGCCCCGGGGGGAGGTGAATTGGTGAACGGTTCCTTGAGGCAAAGCCATGTAAACCAAGACCTAAAGCAAGAGAAGCGCCATCCGTGGGAAGATGTGAGTGGAAATGAGGAAAGGAGCCATGTGCCAGTCAATGCACAGGGACCTGAGGCCTCTGTCTGTGTGTGTGTCTCTAAAAGAGATTGACGAGCAGCTTCTGGACTTTAGAACAAGGGAACAGACCCCTGGAAATGCTTGAGTATTTGTACAGATGACAGCGCTTAGCGAGTCTCAACTCTGGCCTCCCCCTTCAGTTTTCTTGACAGTCTCAAATGTCCCCCCTCCTTTTCTATGTCTTTGCGTGTTCCTAGGATGGAGAGACTAGAGCGAGATTGAGAATCTAGGCCTTTTGCTGCCTCGTTTACAAATGAGTGACAGTCTTACCTCTTCTCCATGTTCCTGTCTGTACTGGTCCTATCCTTAGGATAGTGTGTTTTTAGGAGTGGAGTCATCCTCCATGAAATCTGGATAAACACTGTCTTTGAAAAAGCCAGACTCCCCCTGAAAAGCCATCTCTTCCCCACCTCTATGTCAGAACTAACATCCTGGGAATTGCAGATAAAAAAAAACCTTTTGTAACCTGTTAACTTAGCAGACCACTGCCTTCCACCAACCCCAGAGCTAAGGATGTCATCAGATAGAACCCGAGGCCTTTAGAAAAGCTTCCCCCATCTGGCTGGAACCACCTCTCTGATGTACCCACCAATATATTTTAAACTTATCTTGACATATGACTTTCTTTGCTCTGTAAAACTATAAAGCTTCAGGAAACTGCTTCCATTTTGAAACATGAAATTTTGGGCACCCTAAATCTGTACTCCTGGACCATGGTCACTCAAAATGGCTCCAGAATAAACTATCTCTTGATCTCTTTAAAAAGTTAAAAGTAGGCCGGGCAGTGGTGGTGCACGCCTTTAATCCCAGCACTCGGGAGGCAGAGCCAGGCGGATCTCTGTGAGTTCGAGGCCAGTCTGGGCTACCAAGTGAGTTCCAGGAGAGGCGCAAAGCTACACAGAGAAACCCTGTCTCGAAAAACCAAAAAAAAAAAAGTTAAAAGTCGGATTCTATCTGAAGACTTTTTTAGCCCCTCCGTGTATTCCCATTACCCACATGTCATTCATCATCCTGTGACCTGCCGGTGGTTGAGTTATGGTACAGTGAGGGTAACACAGGAAAAGGCATGCTCATGCTTCATGATGGTGACAAACTGGTCTGCAGCATGACTTTTGCAATGCAACATCACTAACCTTTGACTTCATCTGTTGAACCTTGACCTTCCAAAGACCAAGAAGGGCAGGAACTCCCTGTAAATAGCCAGTGACATTAATAAATCCCAGAAGCTAAGGAAACCAGAAGATTCAAATCCCTCAGTTACAATTCATTGCTTCAGAATATATATTTAGCATCTTATTAAGGGAATGGCTTCATGTTTGTATATTCTTAGTTCAAGAAATATAGTCTTTTCATGTTTTGTATTCAGAGTAAATCCATGATTTCAGGCAGGGCATGGTTTCTCTTACATGCTGTTGTCGTATAGTGGCTGGGTCTATTGATGTACAAAGTGCTGTGGGGCATGGGTAGGCTCATTGGGCATATGTAGAGTCCCTCTGGGCATCCATGTGGGTAATGGCTGCCTGGGGACTTGCATTGTTTTCTCAATACTTGTGGCATAATCTCTCCTGGGTTTCATTTTAGGGTGACCCTGGATCGTCTGCTGCAGGAATTAAGGTAACTATAGCCTTGCACATTATGCCATGGGAATCATGGCTTTGACTTTATGGGCCTCTCTTGTCTCTTCACTTTAGCAGCATTGATGGTTACAGCTCTGGTCCAATTCTCTGGCAACAGCTTCCAAACACAACAGGGAAATCCCAGGCAGTCTGAGTAGGAGGGCTTACGTTCTCTTCCATGTTTCTTTGGTTTCCAAGAAATATATCTATATGTGAGTTCTAGGTACATTCACAGCAGTTTCCATATGTGTAGTGGAGTAGAGAGTAAGAAAATGACATCCACAAAAATGTATGTAATCAAGTAGGCAGTTGAATCATTACTGCAAAACTGCTCAAAGCTCTAGTGTTTTTCAAAATTTCTTCTAAGACTGCCCTTGTTATCTTTGCTTTTCTTTGGCCAGGGAGAACCTGGAGAATCTGGTCGTCCAGGACAAAAGGTAATATCTCTCTGTCTTAGGTATGTTCTTTGCACCTCTCCGTGATCAGTATTTCACGTCATTGGCATCTAATATGGAAACATTGATTGCACCGTGGTATAGCTTCCATGCTTTGCATAATGTTACTGGTTGCTTTCCATTTTAAAAGGTCCTGATGCTGAGGATAGCGAAGTATGAAAACAAACTCTGTATATATGTATACATATACATTTGAAACTAACAAATCTCAGTCGAATTGGAATGCCAGCTAGTTGCCTTGCATGCTTAAAGGTAATCTGTATTTTCTGTGTTTCGTGGGAAGACATAAGTATATACTAAACAATCTCAATGGAGAATGATGGACAGTTCTTTTAAAATATACCTCTACCTCCATTCATTTGCCTGCTAACTTGTATGTGACTCTAACCTGTGTTGTGAATGTTGCCTTATGGAAACTGAATTCGTTTAAAGAACTAAATTTTAATTAGCGACTCTAGCCATACCACTTTCACTAACTGATCTGTGGGTACATTAAATTTACCATTTGTACTTCTTCACTGAATGTTTGTACTCGTTTTTCATCTGAGTCTAAGGCAGGAAACAAATGTTGTCATTTTCTCAGCTGAGCACCTGGGTCTCAATGCCCAGTCTAGCCAAACCTCACATAACAAATTGCAGTTAACAAGAAAATGTGAATTCCATAGGACAAATTCCTTAAAACCATAGTCTTTCCTTTGCCCAGTGGTAGCTGATGTTATAGGCAGAATATGAATTAGGACATAGAACATACCTCATTAGCAGAGTGAGAAAGATAGTAAATCCTATTGCAGTGGATTGGAACCCAATGTTGAGAGTTTGCTGTATTGTCATTGTTCTTGACGTCATCGCTTGACGTCATCGAGAGAGCTTGGGATGGAAGTAACTTCTGAGAAAGTTTTCATGTTAACGTTTCTCTAATTTAATGGCAAATATTTTTCTCTGGAAACTGAGAGTCTCAGAGTATTGATTCATCAGCTCAGCTCCAGGTGAGACAAGAGCCCAGCACAGCTCTTTAACCCTTCCTGTTCTGATCCATCTCTTGGTCTTCGGGTCCCAAGTTTAACTCAAGACTCCACACAAAATATTTTAAATAAATGAGTTGTAGTAACCCCCTCTTCCTCCTCTTCCCAGTTAATCTAGAGCAACATCGCTCGCAGCTCTTTGCTGGTAGCAGATGTATACGGCCAGTCATCTAGATTACTCTTCAATGTGTTTGGGTGAAATACTTCAAATACCTTTTAGAAAGGAACCTCAAGTGCCACAGTGTTCTTTCTGTGGCTCCTTTCAGTGGTGACAGCTTTCCACAAACATGTCCAGCCTTTCCCCTCATACTGACTTTTTCTTTGAGAAAATCAAACTTGTCAGCATATGTGATTTTTTTTTTCTCTTATAGCATGGGCACTGACAAGGTGAATATCTGAACCTACTAATTTTTTGGTTCCCCTTCTCAGGCTTTTTCATGGGCATCATAGCAGGCAGCCTCTCTGACCTTTTAAAAAGAAATGTGGAATTACTAATAACAGCGATCCATGCTCTATTTTGAAAAAGAAACTGGTCTTCACAGATGTGATTTTTGGGTCCCTTAGTCTTTAAAAAATTAAAGATTTTTCTTAAATTGCCCTCTAAATTTGTGATTTTCTCAAAGAAAGACCAGACTTGGTGGAATGTGACTCTAACCCAGCACTCAGAAAGCTGCAGCCGGAAGACCTGGCATTCGAAACCCACCTGCCTTAGGTAACAAGAGTCTGAGTCAGAGGAAGGGAGGGTGCTGGTGAGAAGGCCAGCGGGTCAAGGTGTTTGCTGCCAACACTGACGACTTGAGTTTGATCCCAGAACCCACGTGGTAGACGGAAAATGAATCCTGCAAGTTACACACACACACACACACACACACACACACACACGAATAAGTAAATAAACAGGCAAAAGAGGGATGTGCACCTGCAAAACATCTCTAAAACACAAGCCAAGACAAATCTCAGTAATCTTGTGTAGGCGCCACTGTTTCCACAGAACAAGAACCAAAGTGACCTTCAATTGCTTGGCATAATATTGCATTATTATAATTATTTATAAAATAACTTAGATTCATTCTGGACATTTACAGCTTGCAGGCAGAAACACTGGGTTTTCTTTGCATTTTATAAAAAAAAAATAGATTTAAATGACATTGAAAGGAGCTTTCATCTAGGCTGATATATGACCTGAAATGAACAGCAGCCTTTTTATCAATATTTAGTTCAGATTCTACCATCTGACACAATCACGCCTTCCTACAATTGTATGACTTCCTTGGTCAAACATCCGATTTTGATAATAATTCCCTTAATATTGAAAACAGTATTTCCATGTTTGCTGTTTAGAGTCAAAAAATGGCAAACTGACCCAGGTATACAGTCAGTCCTGCATATCATCCATGGTATTTTGGGCACCATTCAAGAGCTGTGTTCCCAAATTTAGGGGTATTCCCAGAAAAGAACAAAATACTTAGCACAAGCCTAGTGATGAGCCTTCCATCTGGGATCATGCACAGTGTTCATCTAGAGTGACGTTGTAGCTTGTATTTTTTCTCTTGTAGCTTCAGCAGTAGGGTTACTTGTAGAGACACTATAGACTTGTAAAGTGTGAATTGTGTTTCACCACATAGTTCTTGCCTTCCTAACCTTTCCCCAGCTCTTAAAAGTTTACAGTCTAACATGAGGGAGTAAATTATTTGATTCTCTATCAGAAGGGACCCTTGCTAATGAGCTCTGTGGACATCCAGGACACCCTAACAGGGTCCCAGGTATAAGACTCTCTCAGATTGAAGAATGGAGAGTAAAAAAGGAAAATAATAAAATCAGAAATATAATGTAGCTGTGTACAGTTGAAACTCTTGAACAAGGACTCTTTGGATAAAATAACAAGCTGACTCTTAATTATGACTCATACCTAACACATCAACTGTGCTCCCAAGAGGCTCCTGAGCCATGGCATAGACATGAATAGCCAAGTTAACTAAAAACCTTACTCTTAGTTGGAAGGTAAGCTTTCCATGACATAAAGATAAAGAATTCTGCAGAAAGAAATTTCTTCCTAAAAACATGAAGTGTTCCATAAGGGTAATATTAATGCTATTACCATCTCTCATTATGTTGCTAAGAGCAGGAAGTAAATACAAACTTGGAAAGGTAAGAGTCACAAACATTTAACACTATAGAATATGAATATCTGAAGTATTTGACTAAAATATACATTTACAACCAACTACATGTATGCACATATACACACATGATGTAGAGAAAGGCTACTCAAGCTTAATATTTCATTATCTTATATGTTATCCTGTAATGTTTTTACTCATTTTTCTCATAGAAAACATTGTATGTGCTAATCATGCATATATGTGCATATCAATTATTTCATTAAAGTAGCTATGTGGTTCTTTTAAGTTGGTAGAGAATGGGGTGGTGAGAATTCTTATTGGAAAATAATATTATAACCTATTTATTTCTACACATGCTTCAGATGTGATACCATTATGAGTTGGGGAGACTTATTTAAAAAACAATCCCAAGTGTTATTGGTTGGGTACTCTTATGCCGTTCCTGTTTTCAAAGCTTCATACTACTCTTAAGTGAAAGATTGCTTTCAGTAAAATAAGTATGAAAGCCCTTTCTAGTGGATCCTCTTAATGTTAGTAAATAAAAGGTAAAAGAGAAAACAAAAAAGAAAAGCAATGTATGGTGTTGTAGCTCCGTGAAGTTTAATATACCTAGACACCTGGTCTTAGGGTCAAATAATAAGCAAGTTAGAATTCCTTCCTTCTGTAATTTAATTTCATTGTAGTAGTATTTATAATGCACACTTCTGCACAGAATGTCTTTTCTTTTGCATTCCTGAAGTACCTTTAACAAGTAGCCAGGGAGCCATTGCCTCCCTACTTTGTCTAATCACTCAGCTTAATAAAATGTCTAAAGGCTTAATATTATAATACCAGAAGAAATTCTAGCTCTTTGTCATCTGAAAGGGCAGATGGTGGGGGGTGGAAGATCCAGTTGTAAGTAGGTTTTCCTTGAGTTAAGGATTATTCAAGGGCCAGCAAAATGGCTCAACACTCAAAGCGCTTTGCTCCACAAGATGTATAACCTGAACTGGATCCCCAGAACCCACACAAACGTGGAAGGAGAGAACCAAACCCACAACCTTCACATGTGATCTGTGGTAGGCGTGCACACATGCATAGTGATAATAAAATAAAAATTAAAGATCATAGAAACATGTAGGCTACAAAACATGCCTCTCCCCCCACCCTCCTGGCACCTCTCCCTCTGTGGAAATGGTTGTCCTCTCCCTGACTGACCATTACAAAACTCTGATTGTTTTTCCCTCCATGATACTTCCACAGATAATAGGCAACACTTCATGGCAAATGTATTTTTTCCTGATTCCTTTATTCTTTTGTAGTGGACTTCAAGAGAATTTCTAAGCAATGTAACCTCTTGTGCTTAAAATAACATAGACAATTCTGTGAAAATGAGAAGGTTTAGCCTGTCTCCAGTGTGCCTACTCAAGGCGTACTTAATCTCTGACCTGTGTTCAGGAACAGCTGCATGGTACCATTAGCCCAACACTGCTAAGCAGGGTCACCCTAACCCACCAATTGTTAGGAATACAGGCTGGACCTAAGTATATTCTTAACTATTTATTTGTCTTCTCATCCTTCAGGAATGAAAAGGAAATCTTACTATGCTTTTAAGTGAGCATCATGCTTACCGTGTGTATTTTCCTGGGGCCATCTGTTCATACAACAGTCTCTTGATTATCTAAGCAGGGAGAGCCTTGGGAAAGGACACGTTATTGAGGCAAGCAGCTCCAACAAATCCTTGGCCAAAGGAGTCATAAATGCAGCCTTTCCTCCTGTACTCCCCTCTCACACCATCTGATAGAGATGCCAGGGGGCAGGGAACTGCAGGAAAAGGGAAGTGTCTAAGAAATCTGCCAAGTGGTCAGCCAGTCCCGGAATGGAGAGTTGACTGAGCTGAGTAATCTCCTCAGACTCATTCCCCCTCCAAAGTCTTTTGTATATATTTCTGTTTGCAGAAACTCTGCCCCTGAGACATTTGCCATGTTGTTTCTGATGCTGTGACTGAGTAAATGTCGCTCTATAATGCATTGTGATTTTCCTACGTAGGGTGAGCCAGGGCTGCCTGGACTGCCTGGACTCCCGGGGATCAAGGTAAATACTCCACTGACCAACTTCACAGAACTGTAGAGATGAGTCACCCAAATGGGAGGAAATGGAGAAAACCATGAATACTGGTCCTTAACTATGCTAAAGGTGTCTCAATTGATTAGTTTGGTTGTTTTTGTTTTTGTTTTTTTAATTGAAATTGCTCTCAGGTGTTTAAGGTTGCCCATTACCATCCAGACTGTATATTTCACTGCAGGCTTTATCGTGCCCCTTGGATAAAAGCAAATGACATTTCAGGTGAAATCATGCAAGGTCCTAAAGTCTAGAAAGAATCTCTCTTTGCCTTTAACTTTTAACTTAACCTAGGGTCCCATCAAATTTTGACCAGAATTCACCTTCACGCACCAGTAAAACAGACGCTTGGGCAACCATGTATCTGCTTCACCGTTATAACAACCCCGCTAAGATGCCATGAAGCCATCTCTTCCAGTCACTCTCAGAAAAACAGAAACCACCTTGTTAAAATGTTTTCAACCAACACATGTACCTCCCACATAAACTCTGTATGCGTCTTTTCAAATAATTGCTTAAGGTTTAGGATTAAAACATTGTTTTAAGATTTAAAGATTCTTTTTTTCCATTTTTCTTTATTAAGAAATTTTCTACTCTACATACCACCCACAGATCCCACCTCCTCCCTCCTCCCATCCCCCAGCCCTCCCTCCCAAGCCACCCCACATCCCCATATCCCCCAAATCAAGGTCTCCCATGGGAAGTCAGATTCTTAAGCCACAAATTTTTGAAAAAATTTTGAGACTTTTCCCATGGCAGCGACAAGACCTTATGTTCTATTTTCTTAGCTCTAGTTCTTCCTTTAGAATAAACTTCATCTAGATCCCAGAAGTGACAAGGTAACAATGCAAGTACATCTTCCATTCTAAAATGAATGTTCATACTTCACTTCTGTGTGCCATTTCAAAATGCGTTAATTGAAGTCAGTATGATTTTACAAGGATTAAAAGTCCTATGTTGTTTATAACATTAGATAGGTGATCAATACACAGTAAAAAAAAAAATGTCTTCTAGATTGGCACTCAGAAATCCTGGTTCTAGTATTTTGTTGGCTGTTTCTAGATGACTATAAAAAGTTCAGATTGCTTTTACTATATGCTTTGACTCTTTGGTAGACAGTGCACCCTGAAAAATGTCTGCTGAAGAGTCAAAGTCACTTACCTATCATTTGCAGTTTAGCAAGAATGACATCCTACCTCGATGTGAAAGTTCATATTATAGGTTAATTTATGGCAGTTCTTTAGTAACTTCCATGCATAAAAAAATGACAACTTTTTATAAATGACAAGGTCATAAATTTTTAAATGATTTAAGGACATGTTGCTGGGTGTTAATTATAACCTGGTGTCATTACAAATCATAAAGAAGACATTTGAGACAAAGGACATTGGAGCGACAGGGAAGTCCCTACAGCAAGAACTCTGGCTTGTCAGGGTGCAGGCTCAGCTCAGGAGAGCCTTGGTGCTCTGAAATCCACTTGTCCCTTCTGCTGGTCTTCAGACACTCTCTTGGTCAAAAGAATAAGAATGAAAGCATTATTTTTCCAAAGTACAATACAGATAAACACACACACATAGACATAGATGCTTTCAATAGCTACTGTATTTGTGGTCCTTATCACACGGTTATATGTCTACACTGACCGTTGGCCTTTCCCCATGACCTTTTCAGTCACGCATGACCTGTTCAGAAGGTCATGAATTCTCAGGTGGGAGGGTTCATTGTAAGTTGCCACCTCTAGTAAGTGCTTACGTTCCCCCAGCCTGAGAAGTACTGGAAATACTTTGTGGAGGTGGCATGGCTCTGATACTGCCCTCCTGTCCTGACTAGTGACTGAACTGAGAAATGGTCAGGTGACAAAACTCTTCATAATTCACTAGCGATGATTCTCTAGGTCATGTCAGTACCACACGTGGGTCACCGTCCAGTGTGGGAGATACATCATTAGCTCTATTTTCTGTTTACTAAGATTTGTCTTCTCACTCTAATTCAGATGAAAGATAAGCGTTCCTTACAATATAAGTGCTAAATATCAGCAAATAATCTGGGGAGAAGACAATTTAGGAACACATTAAGGTAGTTAGTATTCATTGTATATTCATAAATATAGACTTAAAATTGTATAATGTTGTGATATCACAACATTAACTTAAGCCGGGCGGTGGTGGCGCACGCCTTTAATCCCAGCACTCGGGAGGCAGAGCCAGGCGGATCTCTGTGAGTTCGAGGCCAGCCTGGTCTCCAAAGCGAGTTCCAGGAAAGGCGCAAAGCTACACAGAGAAACCCTGTCTCAAAAAACCAAAAAAAAAAAAACAAAAAACAAAAAAAACATTAACTTGAGATGCTCCTTATTAATTTAATTTGCCTCATTTTTGCTCAGGTGGCAAACTCCAGGACAGTTAATTCTCACTTCATAGTTTAAGTTATTCACCAGGATTTAAAAATTGAAACCCTTACATGTGGCTGTAGGACATGTGGTAACGAAAACATCAGTCATGATCTTAGGTATGTGTGTTTATGCTTTGGAAATATTTCCTGTTGCCACCCATGTCTTCCTTATCTGCCACTCCCACAGAGGGTGTGCACATGCTCTCCGTTGTGTCTAAGACACTGAGGAAACCAGTCATTGCATACCAGGCAAGCTTTGGTCCACCACCTGTTGCTCTTGGGGAATGGTTGGAAACTTAATGAGCACCCACATGCCTTCCACGGCCCTCAGGAAATGAACCAAGTGTCTAAATACAGACAGCAGACTCATCTATCTATCACCTGAGGGTCCCACTCTGAGAAAAGTGCTAATACCGTAGGCATACATCAGGGAAGTCACTGAGCCCCGGCATGACTTCATCTCAAGCTGTTCTTAAGCTTCCTGCAGCATTTGAAAGTCCTCTCGCCATGTGGAAGGCATTTGGAATTCCTATTTCATGCATTCATGGTTCATATAGTGTCAAGATGTTCAGCTGGGAAAATTAAATTATGTACAATGTACCATGCAGAAATTGATCTTCTGGAATAAGATTTGAGCTTAGAAAGTTAGTTTTATGAACAAGCTTTCAAAAATGTCAGAGTCCTTTTTGTCCCTCAAGTGTCTTAATGGATAATAATCATTGTGCCTACCTTTTCTGATATCAGATAAAAATGTAAGATTCTAGGTTATTTTTGAAAATCTTAGTCTAGACCCTTATTTTGAAAAATATAAATATATTGTTGACCCATTCTCATGGTTCCATTTCCCTCATAAATTGATCAACCACCCTAGAACAAACCAAATCATATCTTTACTAGTCCTGTGACTCAGGGTAAGATTTTGTAATCTCTCTGTAGTTTTCTCTTGAGAACCAGCAGTGACCATAGCACAGAGTTCTGTTGCGAGAATGAAATGAATGAATGTATTCATAGCTCTTGAAACCTCACCCAGCACATAGCAAATGGCTGTTGTTGCTGTTTCTCTTGGGATAGTTCAGAATATTGAAAACATTACTTACACACCAGTTCAATATAGTCTTTCCTCATGTAAATAATTTTAACCTGTAGAAAATATATCTAGCTGTGCTTTACATAGATAAAAATGATGGATCCCCCTTTAAAGGCATGAAGGAATAAAACCTTTAAAAGCAATAAGATTGCCCTACTTCCTAAGTGTGTTCCAGGAGCAAAAGGCAAGAGTGCACAATTACTTAAGGATAAGAGAAGTCATGTGAACATTCTTCTTCCTGACTGTTCACAGAAAAAGCAAAAGGGCAACTTGACACATCCTATAACAATGTTTGTTTTTCCAAGCCTGGGTTACTTCACCCAGAATTATTGTTTCCAGCTCCATCCATTTACCTGAGAATTTCATAATTTTGTTTTTCTTAATGACTGGTTAATTTTCCACTGTGTAGATGTACCACATTTTTGTTATCCATCACCTGTTGATGGACATCTTTTCTGTTTCCAATTCCTGGTTATTGTGAATGGAGCAGCAGTGAACATGGATGAGCAATTATCTCCCTAGTGGAATATAGAGTCCTTTGGAAAAATGCCTAAGAGTGGTATAGTTGGATCATGCAGTAAATTCACTTCCAGCTTTTTGAGCAATCTGCACACTGATTTCCACAGTGGCTGCACCAGTTTGCATTCCCAGCAGCAGTGAATAAGTGTTTCCCATTCCCTCTATCCATGCCAGTATTTATTCTTTATTTTCTTATTATCTTGGCCATTCTGACTAGGGTAAGATAAAATCTCAAAGTAGTTTTAATGTGTATTTCATAACATAGCTAAGGATGTTGAACAGTTTTAAATCTAAGTCTCAGCCATTTATATTCCTTCTTTTGAGAATTCTGTATAGTTCCATGCCCCATTTTTTAGTTGGGTTGATTGTTTTCTGGATGTTTAGGGGTTTGGTTTGGTTTTAGTTCTTTGTATGTTCTGGATACTAACCGTCTGATAGATGGATAGTGGTCAGGATTTTTCTTCATTCTGTAGGCTGCCTCATCCAAATAGTGGTATCCCTTGCTGGACGGTTGTTTTTTTAGTCTCATGCGGTCCCATGTTGGTTGTTGGTCTTAATGCCTGCACCATCAGGATCCTGTTCAGAAATCCCTTTCCTGCGCCTATAAGTTAACATGTATTTCCTACTTTCTGCTCTATCAGATGCAGGGTATCACACCTTATCCTGGAGTTCTTGATCTATTTGGAGTTTAGTTTTATGAGACTGAGAAATAAGAAGTGAGTCTCCTTCATGTAGCTTATCCAGTTTGAGTGGCAGTATTTGCCCATTTGATGAAGATGCTGTCTCTTTTACAATGTATATTATTGATCTCTTTATCAAAACAAAAAGCAGGTTACTGTAGGAACCTGAGTTGATATGTGGGTCCTCAGTTCTATTCCATTAATCAATATGTTTGTTTTGATCCAATACCATGATGTTTTTATTACTGTAACTCTATAGTAAAACTTGAAATCTGCTATGGTGATACCACAGCAGAAAA